TGCAAAATAATTATTTATGTTTTTCAAATAAAACTGTTCTGTGTGTCATAATAACCATATTAAAGGAAATTACGCTCACTGTTTCGAATTTATTGGTTCTACAAAAAACGCAATTAATACACTCATCGAAGAAGGATAAATATGCGCGCGCTAGCATTTCTGTACTAGACGCGCACGTATTTAGATATGTTACTGTCGCCGTCGTATTGTGAAGACGTTCGATTTGTATTTCATATAAAACCACAATGATTTTAATCTCGATACCTGCAATTTATTCGTACCAGCTTTATTGTTTTATGTAGTTAAACACTTGTAATATCAATTTTTTCAATATCGTTCTTCTTATTTAAAGGTGCATATCATGTGACAGTATGTACACGTGTCTAGAAAGTGATTGTCGATGAAATCGGCGACGGCAAGCTCTAATAACGCAAATCTGTGTGATGCACTCAAATGCACAATTGACGTTAATACCTCGCTTACTAATTTCCAGGTATCGTTGCTTTGTATTCTAGGAAACTACTGTATATAAATATATGTATATCAAGGAAGCGTATGATGAACAAGAAAATAATTAATTTGGCGGATTTTATCCGAGAGCATCGAATGCGCTATTGGCCCTTCATTCTTCGAAAAAATATTGCGTGAAAAAACTCAACAAGGTAAATGGTGCATCATAGAATTTTTTATCAAGTTTCCTAAAATATATCCTTATCGAATTGAGATGTATTGCAGCACCTTCGATTCTGAAATATAATTTTATAAACTTTGATTAGTGGTTTAATCATTATTATTACCTCGATATTGAACAATAAAAAAGACATATGACATATATCGTATTCTTTTCGTTGAGACACGCAAAATATATTCAAATTTCAGTATTAAAAATATTTATTTCAAAGTTACAATAGTACTAATAATATTCTTGCTACGTTGTTTAAAGCGCTGAAAGTTTCTGTCGTAAAATTAAGCCAACTATTACATTTTACTACAAAATTCGACATTATTGTGTATTTGCATCCATCAAATCCTAATTTTGTGACGCTTGCACATGTATTTCTTGTAACAGAACGCATATAAATAAATGCAACGTCGTTCTGCCAATTTGTTCAATAAAATTGTTTATTATCTGCGAAAAAATATTAACGTCCTTTATAAAAAATTTGTGTATATATTAAATTTTATTATAATAAAAAACAATTATTTTTAATAAGTTTACAAGCAAAATAAATGCAAGATGCAAATTTAATTAAAAATATGCATCAACCACCTACTAATTAGCAAAAGTATAAGAAAATATTGAAGAAATTAAACAAATATTATACTAATGATTTGTCTTGGATATTTTTTTAAAAATAAAATTATGAAATTTGTTAAAAAATGGCATATTATTAATGCGTTGTAAAACGCATTGTTTGCACATGTTTTTATTTTAATGAATACATTATTGGTCACACATAAATTTAGAAAAATTACTCAAATAATACATTTCAAACATCTCTGGAGAAATTATACCAAGCTGAAGTTAGATAAAGCAAAAGTAAAAAAATGAAATAGTATAAATATCTTACAAATGTCGTTCCTACATGAACATCACTGCTCAGTTAAAAAGACATATGTGTTTTATGAATTTATATACAAACTTTATAAATATAATATTAAAGAGTACTTTCTTCAATTAATTTATAAAAATTATATATTTATAAATTCAAGGTACGTCTTTGAGATATAAAGTTATAATCTTGTTTATAACTTTATAAGAATCAAACTGATATATACAGACGTTGAAGATAATTTTTTTATACATTTCAAATTAATTATGTGATCAAAGTAAAGACTGACATTATTGCTGTTTGTGGCTCGATCTCAATTCGGTAAAAAAATCGTCATCTCCATTGTCAAAAGAATAATTACATCTATTAAAAAAAAAAAAAGCTGATTAAAAACATCTAATTAATCGATTTTTATTGTCTTATTGTATAAGTAATGAGTACGCCACTCAAAGAAAATAAAAAATTAAAAATACATAACAATATTATAAATACCAATAAAACTTACCGCACCTTTTCAGTTTATTTTACGACTTGTTGACGGTTCGTCGCATGATCTAGGTCTTTTCATTCCTTGTCCTTGCATTGCTAAATCATCTCTTGGTCGTGGATCATTTTCTGGTCCTAGATAATCTTTCCTCATCAAATTTCGACACTTATTGTCGAATATGTGAAAGAATAAGTGTATTGCAGGCATAAAATCGAAGTCATGTTCTACACTACATACATTGCAACGTCCTTTAAAATCATCATTACCATCTTCGATTTCTGTCACATATTTGCATTGCCATGTGTAATGACGAATGTAATTATTATCATTATCATGTAAATGCTTTCTCCAGTCGTTCGTCATTATTGGAAACTTCTTGCTACATATAACACATTGTACATTCTGTTCCAACATAAGATTCCTGAAATTTATCCAATATGCATTTTTGCAATTATTCTCAAGTCCTCGACTTTCCATATTGAAAAGATCGGGTTCTTGAATATATATATGTTGATTAATGTCTGATGTGTCGATGCTATTAAAAATGTCAAAACACTTTTTACATTCTGCTTGAAATCTTGGTTTTAATTGATATTTTCTTTTCACCCAATTTATAGCAGTTGTGCGATCATTCCAATCCTCTGTGCCCCAACGGCCACGTTTACATATTTTTAAGAACAACTCCAGTCTACTTAAATTTAGGGCACCTATTAAAACGGTTATTTTTTCATTAAATGGTAGTCTTTCCGTCCATTTTTCTGAATGAGTCCTTTTAAAATGCAAGAATATGGTTTCTTCAAACGCTATAATTTCACAGTGTTCACAAAGAATACAATTCGCTAAAAAAATGCAGCCACTCATACTCTCTCTAAAATATTTGAACACCCAGTCATAATCAATGTCGGTTACAATTTGTCCATCGTCTGCGCGATGTGATGATCGAAGGCATCGTCGATGGAAACAAGTTTATCACATACAACACATACAACATCGTTTGAATCGTCAGTTTTTCTGAAATTTCTCCAACGCTCACCTTTATGTGTCTCTTCAAATTGATAAGTGCTTTTATGTTTGCGTTTTATATGATTCTGAAGATTTTCTGTGCTGACGAAGTAAAAAGTTTTTTGACACTCCTTACATGTTGCTCGGAAATTTGACAGTGTGTAATTTTTTTTCACCCAATTCCGAACAGTTGGAAGCTTAGGTTGGTTGACTACGTCCATTGCACGAGACATATTGCGTGTGACTGATCGAGATACTGTTTTCTCGAACAGTGTTTCATAGAAAAGGTCGAAGGAAGAAGGGTATAGCATTTTCCTTCCATTCGTACGTAAACATTGATACATTATTCTGACTTACCGAACTGTTATTAAAAATTCTAATCTTTTACAAATATGTAATATTATAACAACCCTACATCTGAGCAAAAAAGATTTTACATAACATTTTTTGCGTGAATAAACGAGTTTTTCTTTGAAATAATGCAAAAATAATTTTTTGTTTTTAAAATAAAACTGTTCTGTGTGTCATAATAACCATATAAAAGGAATTTACGCTCACTGTTTCGAATTTATTGGTTTTACAAAAAACGCAATTAAAACATCCATTGCAGAACGATATACAATATGCGCACTAGCATCTCAGTACCCGACGCGCACGTTTAGAAATGTTCTTGTCACTGTCGTATTGTGAAAACGATCGGTTTGAATTTTATATAAAATCACGATGTTTTTAATCTCGATATATGCAGTCGATACATATAATTTTGAGCTGTATTGATTTATATGGTTTAAACACTCGTAATATGGAACAAATATTCTTCGGATCTGCTAAAACACGCGTTAAAAATTAATGTATCGCGTGCAAAAATAATTTTATCTTCTCATCAACAATATTGGATATATGTATATAAAAGAATTAAAAAAAAAGAAAGTAACAATTTTTTTTCTATAGTAAACAATAAAATAATAATCTCGAATTAGAGATTATTATTTTATTTTAATTAGAATGAGATATTCCTTGTCAAGTCGTTTCACACTGCACTGTATATAATTCTGACAACTTTAATCATTTATGCCATTCTTTATGTATCATATTAGCTCTTGTATTTTATCGAAGTAATAAAGAAAAATTAAAAAAAAAAAAATAAAATAAAAAATATGTAGTCGTTTTTTAAACGATGTTTGCGTTTTATTAATTTGGTACATTTATTTATCCATTTGAAATTGCTACGCCTACGCCGTATTGCATATTTTTGTGTCTCGTGTCGTAACGATGAAGTTTATTTTGTATAGTTAGTTTGGACTTTTTTGCTGCAAATTTAAGTACAAGGTATAAATATATTCACAGAAAAGTAAATTATACAATAAATTCACATTTTTTCATGATATCATTCCGTAACCAGAAAAAATTATAGAAATTTATTTGCCTGAATTATATATATTTAAGGCAATTTTCGCACATTTTTTAACATGTGTTTGAAATGAAGTAATAACTGAGAAAGACGATAAATAATCCAATCGCTTTCGTCAAATGCATTTGGTCTATAGCCTTTTTTTATTTTATGCTAAAGGTTTAGTAATGAAGAAACGTTTTAAATGAAGAATCAAATACTTACAAAGTTGCGAGATGACCTTTACAGAATAAACTCTTAAAGTGTAACATCATTTCGTAGCTAATTTGGACGTGGTAGTAAACATAATTTGGCACCGATTATTACGTTCGTTATTGTTAATTACCAAACAATCATATAAAATTCTAAATACGACAAAATCATTATAATTTTTAGGTTATAAACAGAGCTATATATAAAATTAACATGTGTAACAAAAGAGCGAGCTATTCCACGCGCACTCGGAGTTGCCTTTTGCCCGCGTCAAAAACACCCAACGGGATCATTGTTTCTTAGCAATAAGATTATGCGTCGCTGATGATATTTAGAACTTAATATATATATATAATACCCGCGTACATAAACAGTTATTATATATAATATATATTAACAAATATATATTTTTTTAAATAGACATTAAAATTAAATGGGAAGGAAGTTGCTCAACATTTTAAGAAAACTTCTGAGAACTTTGTTTGAACAAAGTACGCTTGGTCACAATCTACTATGATGATCTATTTTATTGTATGATTTATTTTATTGGCGTGTTATATACGTTATCAGTTCCAGAGAGAGATGTAGATAGTTCTCCTCATTATTACTCTATAAAACTATTATTCAAATATCATTGAGTCCTTGAATTGTTTCTCCCGGAATCTGTCGATTTCAAAATATTTGACATTTATGCCCGATTCCACCAACGTAGGTTAACTTTAATCTCTGCTCAACTTACTTTTCACCTTTTTCTAATTTTTATAATTAAAAAAAGATGAAGAGCAAGTTGAACCGAGATTAAAGTTAATCTACATTGGTGGAAATGGGCATTAAAGTCTCAGATCTTTTAACTTTTAAAGCTCATCGTCCTTAAAAACACCTGAATTCGTAAATTCTCAAATTCGCAAAATATCATAATTGGTCTCTCGAAATCTCAATTCAAAATATTTAATTTTTAGTTTTTGCGAAACATCAGTAGCTCAGATAATGACTTCCTGCACATAATATATCTTTCTAGGACACTGTGTGAAACATTCGAAACCCTCGAAACGACATGCTGACCTTCGTTCAAACATGATGCCGAATCTCCGCTATCAAATCTTAATTGTTATTCCGCGACAAATGTCATGCCATTGAGAAATGCATTATTGCGAAAAAAAGTTGTATTATTTAACTAAGCAATAATTTTAAAATTTCGTCTTGTACATACGATTATCTTACAAGCAAATAATGAAATAATAATTTTCAAATCCCTCAGAAAAGTTAGAAATAAAACTCGTTTAAAGTAAATTCCTCCAAAATCATTTATATTTTTGTAACGACTAAGCAGAGAAGATTAGAAGACGCAATGAATATTTGTTTCACCTTGTCGTCTTGACTGTTCATCAAGCAATCTGCATTTTTTCAGTCGATATACGTTACAATGACGAATCGAGTTTTGCAACTCTAAGTTGTACAAATTATCTTGCAAACATAGAAACATATATCTTTGTGGCAACAAATCAAACCTATCTTTTATTTATATTACTACATTAATACTAAAATATTAATTACTTATAAATAATATGTATTACAATGAATTTTTAAAATAAAGTTTTACTTATTTAAAAATTTGTATCATGTGGCAGTGTCTACACATTTCTACAAAAATGATTGTCGGTGAAACCGGCAATGGCAAACTGTGACCACTCAAGTCCGTATAATGCCAAATGCGACAACTGACGTTAATATACCGCTTACTAATTACCAAGCATCATTCTTTTGTATTCTAAGAAACTACTATATATGATTGTATATATATCAAAGAAATGTATGATAAACAAAAAAATAATTGATTTGGCAGATTCCATCCGAAAGCATCAAATGCGCTAATGACACTACATTCTTCGACAAAATATCGCATAAAAAACTCAACAAGGTGAATGGTGCATCATAAAGTTTTTTATCATTTTTTCTTAAATATGACCTTATCGAATTGAGATGTATTGCAGCACCTTCGATTCAGAAATATAATTTCTTAAGTTTTAATTAGTAATTTCATAACTATTATTAACTCCACATTAAACAATAAAAAAGCACATATGACATATATCGTATTTCTTTCGATGAAACTCGAGAAATATATACGAATGACAGTGTTAACTATATTTTTTGAAAAAACAAGAATCATAATGATATTCTTGCAACGTCGTTTGAAGCGCTGATAGTTTCTGTCATAAGATTTAGCCAACTGTTACATTTTACTACAAAATTCGACATTGTGCATTTGCATCCATCAAATTCTAATTTTGTGACGCTTGCACATGTTTTTCTTGTAACAAAACGCATATAAATGAATGCAACGTCGTTCTGCCAATTTGTTCAATAAAATTGTTTATTATCTGCGAAAAAATATTAACATCCTTTATAAAAAATTTGTGTATATATTATATTTTATTATAATAAAGAACAATTATTTTAAATAAGTTTACAAGCAAAATAAATGCAAGACGCAAATTTAATTGAAAATATGAATCTACTACTAATTAGCAAAAATATAAAAAAATATTTAAAAAATTAAACAAATATTATACTAATGATATGTCTTAAATACTTTTTTTAAACAAAATGATAAAATTATTTGTTAAAAAATGCCATTTTATTAATACCTTGAAAAACGCATCGTTTGCACATGTCTTTACTTTAATGAATACATTATTGGTCACACATAAATATAAAAAAGTTACTTGAATAATACATTTCAAACATTTTTGGAGAAATTATGACAAACTGAAGTTAGATGAAGCAAAAGTAAAGAAATAAAATAGTATAAATATGAAGATATCTTACAAATGTCGTCCTTACATAAACATCATTGTTCAGTTAAAAAATCTGATTTGTTTTATGAATTTATAATCAAACTTTATAAATGTAATATTAAAGAGTACTTTTTTCGATTAATTTATAAAAATCATGTATTTATAAATTCAAGGTACGTCTTTGAGATATAAATTTATAAACTTACTTATAACTTTATAACAATCAAACTGATATATACAGACGTTGAAGATAATTTTTTTATACATTTCAAATTAATTATGTGATCAAAGTAAAGACTGACATTATTGCTGTTTGTGGCTCGATCTCAATTCGGTTATCGTCATCTACATTGTCTAGACTATAGATACATCTATCAAAAATTAAAAAAAACTGATTAAAAACATCTGATTATTCGATTTTTATTGTTCTTATTATATAAATAGGGAAAGTGGGGTAAGAGACGGATCGCGGGGTAAAATGGTCCATTTGCTAGATCTTATTAGTAAGTACCTCTATCTGCTGGATAAACATAAAATTAATTTCCTTTTTGTTGCTTTTGAACTGTTTAAAAATTACGTCATTATATCATAAGACTATTGTGAGTTATTTATAAAGGAACGTCAAATTCTCTGCAAATAGATCTCGTGATCTAATTTCTTAGTATTACATTTTAAGTGACTAAGATTGCAAAACTTAATATTTTTAAATTTTTCCACAAGTTTCATATTTCTGGTTATTTGGAAGTAATATTTCATCAGTTACATTTGAAAAATAATTTTGATACAGGTAAATAAAAATAAGATAATATTAATGTTGTTATGTGAGGTAAAACGGACCAATTTATATATTTGTTCTACTTATACTTTCTACTTATAGTTTTCTGCTTGTATATTTGCTCTGATTTGAGAAATATTTTACATCTGATTTTCTTTCTTAACAATTTTTTGTTTTTTAACCATTTTTCTAGTTGTTAAAAAATGCCTAGAAATTATAAAAGAAAATCGAATCAATGTAAATAAAATGAAGAAAATATATACAAAGCGTTAAAAGTCATGTTAGAAGAAAACATTGGTTAACGAGAAACTGCAAGAAGATAAAATGATTAATGTTAAATTAATTTCTATTCTTATTCAAAAATATTTAATAAATAATGTATAGTTTTGATTATGAATTGATGAGTTAAATTATTTCTTGGTCCATATTATCTCGGCTCGGTCCATTTTACCCCACCTATGAAGTAAAGCAAACCAAAATTAAGTTTTTTAAAATCTTAATAATAATTCAAACTTTTGCAAGATTTGAAAATTTAACATTATGATCTTATAATAAACAATCTACTGTTTTTTCATACAAAATTTCACTTATTTTTTGTCATTAATATAAAAAATATGGCCATTTTCGCTTAGGGAATCCGTCTTACCCCACCTAGTCCTAATATAAGTACGCCACACAAAGAAAATAAAAAATTAATAATACATAACAATATCATAAATACCAATAAAACTTACAGCACCTTTTCAGTTTATTTCACGACTTGTTGACGGTTCGTCGAATGATCTAGATCTTTTCATTCCTTGTCCTTGCATTGCTAGATCATCTCTTGGTCGTGGATCATTTTTTGGTCCTAGATAATCTCTTCTCATCAAATTTCGACACTGACTGTTGAATATATGAAGGAATAAGTGTATTGAAGGCATAAACTTAAAGTCATGTCTTTTATTACATAGAAAGCATCTTCCTTTTAAATCATGATTATTTTTAGTGATTGGTTTCACATATTTGCATTGCCATGTGTAATGACGAATGCAATTATTATCATTATCATGTAGATGCTTTCTCCAGTCGTTCGTCATTATTGGAAACGTATTGCTACATATAACACATTGTACTTCAAGTTTCCATATAAATATCCTAAAATTAATCCAATATGCATTACTGTAATCGTTCTTAAGTCCTAGGTTTTCCTCATCATAATAATTGCGATGTTCATCATATAAATGTTCATCAAAGTTTACTGTGTCGATGCTACTAAAAATGTCAAAACACTTTTTACATTCAGCTCGAAAATTCGATTTAAATTGATATTTTCTTTTCAACCAATTTATAACCCTTGTTCGATGTTCCCAGTCATCTAATTCCCATTCGCCATGGTCATATATTTTCAAGAACAGTTTCAGTCTTTCTACGACACCTGATAGAGCTGTTAATTTTTCACTGAATGGTGGTCTTTCCTTCCATTCTTTTAAATGAGCACATTTAAAATGCAAGAATATGGTTTCTGCAAACGTTATAGTTTCATTGCGTTCACAAAGAATACAATACGCTGAAAGAACACTGCCACTAGTCTTTCTAAAATATTTAAACACCCAGTCATAATCAATGTCGGTTAGAATTTGTGTATCGTCTGCGCGATGCTGGTGAATGAAGGTATCGTCGACGGAATCAGGTTTATCACATACAACACATACAACATCGTTTGAATCTCCAGTTTTTCTAAAATTTCTCCAACGCTCACCTTTATGTCTCTCTTCAAATTGATAAGTGCTTTCATGTTTGCGTTTTATATGATTCTGAAGGCCTTCTGTGCTGACGAAGTAAAAAGTTTTTTGACACTCCTTACATGTTGCTCGGAAATTTGACAGTGTGTAATTTTTTTTCACCCAATCCTGAACAGCTGGAAGCTTAGGTTGGTTGACTACGTCCATTGCACGAGACATATTGCGTGTGACTGAACGCGATACTGTCTTGTCGAACAGTTGATAGAAGAGGTCGAAGAAACAAAGGTGTAGCATTTCCCTTCCATTCGTACGTAAACATTGATACATTATTCTGATTTACCAAACTGTTATTAAAAATTCTAATCTTTTACAAATATGTAATATTATAACAACTCTACAATTAAGCAAAAATGATTTTACATAACATTTTTTGCGTGAATAAACGAGTTTTTCTTTGAAATAATGCAGAAATAATTTTTTGTTTTTAAAATAAAACTGTTCTGTGTGTCATAATAACCATATAAAAAGAATTTACGCTCACTGTTTCGAATTTATTGGTTTTACAAAAAACGCAATTAAAACATCCATTGCAGAACGATACACAATATGCGCACTAGCATTTCAGTACCCGACGCGCACGTTTAGAAATGTTCTTGTCACTGTCGTATTGTGAAAACGTTCGGTTTGAATTTTATATAAAATCACGATGTTTTTAATCTCGATATATGCAGTCGATACATAAAATTTTGAGCGGTATTGATTTATATGGTTTAAACACTCGTAATATGGAACAAATATTCTTCGGATCTAAAACACGCGTTAAAAATTAATGTATCGCGTGCAAAAATAATTTTATCTTCTCATCAACAATATTGGATATATGTATATAAAAGAATAAAAAAAAAAGAAAGTAACAATTTCTATAGAAAAAAATAAAATAATAATCTCGAATTAGAGATTATTATTTTATTTTAATTAGAATGAGATGTGTGTGTGTGTGTTCCCTGTCAAGTCGTTTCACACTGCACTGTATATAATTCTTATAAGTTTAATTATTTATGCCATTCTTTATGTATCATATTAGCTCTTGTATTTTATCGAAGTAATAAAACAAAATTTAAATTTAAAAAAAATAAAAAATACGTAGTTATTTTTTAAACAATGTATGCGTTTTATTGATTTGGTACATACACTTATCCATTTGAAATTGCTACGCCTTCGCTGTATTGCATATTTTTGTGTCTCGTTTCGTAACGATAAAGTTTATTTTGTTAGTTAGTTTGGACTCTTTTGCTGCAAATTTAAGTACAATTTAGGTATAAATATATTCACAGCGGAGTAAATTATATAATAAATTCACATTTTTTCATGATATCATTCCGTAACCAGAAAAAATGATAAAAATTTATTTGCTTGAATTATATATATTTAAGGCAATTTTTGCACATTTTTTAACATGTGTTCAAAATGAAGTAATAACTGAGAAAGACGATAAATAATCCAATCGCTTTCGTCAAATGCATTTGGTCTATAGCCTTTTTTTATTTTATGCTAAAGATTTAGTAATGAAGAAACGTTTTAAATAAAGAATCAAATACTTACAAAGTTGCGAGATGACCTTTACAGAATAAACTCTTAAAGTGTAACATCATTTCGTAGCTAATTTGGACGTGGTAGTAAACATAATTTGGCACCGATTATTACGTTCGTTATTGTTAATTACCAAACAATCATATAAAATTCTAAATACGACAAAATCATTATAATTTTTAGGTTATGAGCAGGGCTATATATAAAATTAACATGTGTAACAAAAGAGCGAGCTATTCAACGCGCACTCGGAGTTGCCTTTTGCCCGCGTCAAAAACACCCAACGGGATCATTGTTTCTTAGCAATAAGATTATGCGTCGCTGATGATATTTAGAACCTAATATATATATATAATACCCGCGTACATAAACGGTTATTATATATAATATATTAACAAATATATATTATTTTAAATAGACATTAAAATTAAATGGGAAGGAAGTTGCTCAACATTTTAAGAAAACTTCTGAGAACTTTGTTTGAACAAAGTACGCTTGGTCACAATCTATTATAACGATCTATTTTATTGTATGATCTATTTTATTGGCGTGTATAATATACGTTATCAGTATATACGTTCCAAAGAGATGTAGATAGTTTTCCTCATTATTACTCTATAAAACTATTATTCAAATATCATTGAATCCTCGAATTGTTCCTCCCGGAATCTGTTGATTTCTAAATTTTTGACATTTGAAGTCTCAGATCTTTTAACTTTCAAAGCTCATCGTCCTTAAAAATACCTGAATTTGTAAATTATCAAATTCGCAAAATATCAAAATTGGTCTCCCGAAATCTCAATTCAAAATATTTAATTTTTAGATTTTGCGAAACATCAGTAGCTCAGATAATGACTTCCTGCACATAATATATCTTTCTAGGACACTGTGTGAAACATTCGAAACCCTCGAAACGACATGCTGACCTTCGTTCAAACATGATGCCGAATCTCCGCTATCAAATCTTAATTGTTATTCCGCGACAAATGTTATTGAGAAATGTATTATTGCGAAAAAATTGTATTATTCAACTAAGCAAAAATTTTAAAATTTTGTCTTGTACGATTATCTTACAGGCAAATGATAAAATAATAATTTCAAAATCCGTCAGAAAAGTTAGAAATAAAATGCGTTTAAAGTAAATTCCTCCAAATTTAATTATATATTTGTAACGACTAAGCAGAGAGTATTAGAAGACGTGATGAATATTTTTTTATTTTGTCGTCTTGACAGTTTATCGAGCAATCTGCATTTTGTCAGTCGATATACTTTACAATGACGAATCGAGTTTTGCAACTTTAAGCTGCACAAATTATCTTGCAAACATAGAAACATATATCTTTGTGGCAACAAATCAAACCTATCTTATATTTATATTACTACATTAATACTAAAATATTAATTATTTATAAATAATATGTATTACAATGAATTTTTGAAATAAAGTTTTACTTATTTAAAAATATGTATCATGTGGCGGTGTCTACACATTTCTACAAAAGTGATTATTGATGAAACCGGCAATGGCAAACTGTGACCACTCAAGTCCGTATAATGTTAAATGCGACAACTGACGTTAATATACCGCTTACTAATTACCAAGCATCATTCTTTTGTATTCTAAGAAACTACTATATATGATTGTATATATATCAAAGAAATGTATGATAAACAAAAAAATAATTGATTTGGCAGATTCCATCCGAAAGCATCAAATGCGCTAATGACACTACATTCTTCGACAAAATATCGCATAAAAAACTCAACAAGGTGAATGGTGCATCATAAAGTTTTTTATCATTTTTTCTTAAATATGACCATATCGAATTGAGATGTATTGCAGTACCTTCGATTCAGAAATATAATTTCTTAAGTTTTAATTAGTAATTTCATAATTATTATTAACTCCACATTAAACAATAAAAAAGCACATATGACATATATCGTATTTCTTTCGATGAAACTCGAGAAATATATACGAATGACAGTGTCATAAACGCACATTTTAAGATTTCTACATACCTTCAAAACGTTCATTTTGTTAAAAATCGGTTCACTCAAAAATCATTCTAACGTCATCAAGACCGTAATCACATGCATGCGATTTGTATAATATAAAATAAATTTCATATACATTTTCTCGATCCGAGAAGATTAATGCAGGAATTTGTAACAGTTAAAAAGAAATGGTGATACTATAAACGTTCTACTATAAATTTATTAAATTTTAGTTTAAAAAAATTAAAAAAAAATATAAAAATGTTATCGTTTCTCTCAAATGTACTACAACAAGCGTGTTCCGTTGGATTTCTTTTGCAACAAACTCTTATAAACAAAATGTGACCTACGATTAAGGCCTTGTTCATTAGTCATCGACAAACGCACAGTTAGACATATGATACGCTGTGTAGCAGTCGATGAGTGCTGTTTAGAGTTCAGGTAGTTTTACACGAAATCTCTAATTTTTAATTAATATTCTCTATAGTTTAACGTGCGTGGATTTGGTTCAATCTTGGCTCAAATTTTGGTTTTAATTCATTGGAGTTTACAACTAATAAAATATACTACTAAACTTATGTACATATCAAATGTGTATTGAATGTAATATATAGTTTCTCGCGTGTGTGAGAAATGTGTGTAAGCGTCCCAACTACATCGCGCTTTCCACTATGCTTATAATTGCAAACTATAATTTAATTAATCAGCTTGTTATAGCTGAATTTCTGCCATTTTCGCGATTCAGATTCTAGCTTTCTTTTTAAAACCGTCGCACAAATATTCGCAAAATTTCGGGAACTACAACTGAACAGCGAATACTCGATCTGTACATTCGATCTCGAACAAAATTCTTATTAAATAACTTTTAACATTTATTCTAAATAGGCTAATTTGCACACTTATTCATGCTACTTAAAAGTTGTAATTACTTAAGTATTTATATTTCTACGATACGTACAGAGCGATTCACATTCACACATACAGATTTTTTAGCCACTTTCAATTTCCTTTTTCTCTCGCGGAAATAAAAGTTACGGGGAGTCGAAAAGTGTGTAATAATATTAAAATAGTAGATAGTAATATATATAAGTCACACGAATGTAAAGTACACAATTTCGGAGCTTTTGATATTATATTAACATTCCAGTAGCCGCTTTCTAAAAAGTATGATTCATTAAATTAAAGTAAATTGTAAAAGCATTTATGTACATATATTGCAAATGAAAAAATTCATTTAGCTATACAATAATCACCGCCAATCATATAATTACAAAATAACACTCGGCAACAACATTGTAGAAAAAAAATTTTGGTGTATAAGTAACGAAAACGGTTGACGAGACTGCGATTGACCGGAGGGACAAACATTACTAACAGATTTCACAATTACACAGGTAGACATCTGCTGAATACCTCTTAAGTTCTATTATCAAACAAATAAAAAATAATAATTTCTTAATATTTGGAACCCATTGTCAGTGCTAGACCCATGGAATCAACAGATAAAATATGCTAGATTCTTGCACAACTAAAATAAAAATAGTTTTGTTAGGTTTCCCAATGACATATTTAAACATTAAAATTAAAATTATAAAATAGTATCTCAAGGATTAAATAAACAATTCTTTTATTTTCAGATTATTAAAACAAAATAGAAAATCGATATTAACGATGTCATCATTTTCAGAACATAAACATGACAACGCAGATGAAAATATAACTGTATTAATAGGCAAAATAATAATGGATTATAATAATAAAAAAACGGAACGCAGACATTACATGTTGCCGAATGCCGGAATGCCTCCTGAAACAGCACAACATACTCAAAACCAGGATATCTTAAATTTTGAAATGAGCAATATTAATGCCGTCACCAATCTTAGCGAGATTTCGGAAAACATTGCACACGAGCCACATTCACTTATCTTTTCAAACACATTCAACAGTCAACATCCACCCATTACTAGTAATGAAAATGAAGCCATAGCAACACTAGCACTTGCGATGGTAGCGAATGAAACTAATGTGTCAAGTAACAATGTATCGCAAAATCATAAAACTCATGAAATTGCGTCAATCAAACAATTTGTACCAACTCACAATCAGCCGCAGACTTTAATGGAGTTAAATTCTCACGTATCAGAAACAGACTCAATGTCACCTTCGACAGTTTTACCTTCCGTAAACAAAGATGATAAAACGGATACTGAATGCATCAGGAAATGTGACTGCACTTCTAATTACAATGACACTTTGTGTAACAATAAAATTAGACATTCAAGTAATAGTAAACATAAATTTGTGTGTCCTGTAAAAAAGTGTCAAAAGTCATATCGTTGGAAGTCACAGTTGGAAATACATATGAGGTCTCATACCGGTGAAAAACCGTATGTCTGCACTTGGAAGAACTGCGGTCAAAGGTTCAGTCAGGTGAACAATCTGAACCGTCACAAACGCTTGCACACTGGCGGTGAGGTACATGCGTGCAAAATATGTTTTAACAAGTATTCGACAAAATATCATTTAAAAACAAACGAAAAATGTATGCATAATATGCACAAAGGATCATGAAAAAGATAAGAGCATCCAGACAAATTTTCAAATTTTGGATTTGACAATGGAAATATTCTTGCAGAAATGTATAGATAGATAGTGTCGTATAAAGTATAAATAAGTTGTACAGAATAAACTAAATAAAAATAAAGCAAATAATAAAATGCTGTTAATTTTTCACATTTTAAATTCAAAAATTAAAATATTCGCGAATCTTATATTCATAGAGATATGTCGGTTATTAAAAGATTGATCAATGATACATTTGATAGTAGTTGTCTTCACAATAATAAAAATACTCTTTAATACATTAGATTTGAGTAATATTGATATTAATCCATATCTTATATTATGTGCATAATATACACAACTATATATACATATTTTTTTCTCCAACTTTTAACTTCAAAAAAATACAGTATAGCTTTTGAAAAATTATGCGTATTAGATATCCCTGAACTTATGACGAGTAGAATAAAATCTTATTCTTTACTGTCGCTTTGTATTTGCATATAGAATCAGTGGCTTTTCAATATTACTATCAATTCGGGGACATTCTATATATGTATATTTTATGAATATAAAAATTACATAACATTTTTGAAATAATATTATCTAAATTAAAAGATATTTCTTAACTGCGTGTGTTTATTTCGATATTGACAACTTCTATTCTTCCATTTGTACGCTCTAGAATTTTGAAGGAACCATTTTAAATATTATAGTTTCATAAGTAGTCCTTCACATATTATAAAGCGAGAAAGAAAGTATGTAATGTAAAAACTCATATAAATAAATTATATAGAAACGTTCCACCGATGTACAGATATCGGGGTTTCACTTGATATCTTTCTGTCACTCGATATAGACAATCTTTTTTTCCAGCAGAAATACCCTGCATTTATCAGGTCTGTATTTGAAATTTGTATTAAATAACAGAAATGTCGTCTGAAATATCGAAAATGCAGTCACAACAAAACGTTGACATGCTCGTCATCCTAAAAAATGATGAAAAAAAGAGAATAGTAAATATCTAAGAAAACAAAAAGTACGTATGTCATTCATGTGATACGCAGAATTATGACAGACATCATAACAAAAAATTAACAATTACGTAATAACATACATATTGATTTGTATCAACTAAAAAGCCAGGAAGTAACTCTAATCAATCAATAAAATAATATCTAATAAAATTGCATATCTACAAATGTAGTATATCTAAATTATGTATTATGTCATTTCTATAAGTGTGATAAATTCTGATTAGCGACTGATCATTTAATTACAAATCGTCAAACGTGTTACATTTCCTCGGCGCTGCAGCCAGTCAGAAATTAAAAGTGGTTCATCAACTGGACAGAGGAGCAGGCGGATGCGGGAGGATAGTATTAGTAACGTATTTCTTTTCTACTATAACAGTCTTTCTGCACTCTATTGTAAAATAGGTCTTATCGCCGTACAAGTACATGATTTCGCTTCTTGAGAAACCGCTAATAAACGCGCTATAAATGCACATTCTAAGGTTTTTAAATACCTCGAAAATGTTTATTTTGCTAACAATCGATTAGCTCAAAAATCACTCTAACGTCATTAAAACCGCAATCACATGTTTTGCGATTTGTATACAATAAAAAAAACATTTCATATACATTTTCTCGATCCGAGAAGATTAATGCGGGATTTTGTGATAGTTGGAAAAAGACGGTGATACCTTCTATTATAAATTTTTTAAATTTTGGTTTAAAAAAGATTTTAAAAAAATATAAAAATGTTTTCATTTCTCTTAAATATATCACAACGAACATGTTTTGTTGGATTTCTTTTACAACAAACTCTTATAAACAAAATGTGACTCACGATTAGTTAGACTCACAGTTAGACATGATACGCTGTGTAACAGTCGATGAGTGCTGTTTAGAGTTCAGGTAGTTTTACACGAAATCTCCAATTTTTAATTAATATTCTCTATAGTTTAAAGTGCGTGGATTTGATTCAATCTTGGCTCAAATTTTGGTTTTAATTTATTGGAGTTTACTACTAATAAAATATACTACTAAACTTATGTACGTATCGAATGTGTATTGAATGTAATATATAGTTTCTCGCGTGTGTGAGAAATGTGTAAGCGTTCCAACTACATCGCGCTTTCCACTATGCCTATAATTGTAAACTATAATTTAATCAATCAGCTAATTACAGCTAGATTTCGGTCGTTTCAGCTACATTTCTGTGTGTTGAAGCTACATCAACATATTTTTCAAATAACGTACGCTGTAAAAAATATAAACCTATAAAATATTTTATTTATTAAATAAAATATTAAAATAATCTAAAAAAATTAATTACCAAGTCATTTTTTTTCGTCAACGTCCATTGAGGCATCCAAAGTATCAAAATCATCTAATATAGATATCGGTAATGTAAAACCAATAATTTGTTTAAAGCAGAAACTGGATTCATTCATCTTTGTGCGATAAATTTAATAATAAATTGTTTTGTAATTCTTCAAATCCTTCCGTATATCGTATAAAATTACTTTTTTTTATGTTATCCATCTTTTGTATAAGTACTTTTACTTGTTCATAGCAAGCATTAGCAATGACTTGAGTGCATTCTAAAATAGGAAAACAAATAAGTATTTATTCTTAATTTATTAATTTATTTATTTATTAACTTATTTATTTATTTATTTATTTATTTATTTATTTATTTATTTATTTAGTTATTTATTATAAGAAAATCTAAGTTATATTATTGTAAAAGTTTTTTAAGTAATCTTAATTGTTAAATAATACTACACCATTATTTTCTATACAATTATTGTGTAATTTTGTAATTTTGTAATTTTGATTTAAATTTTCGGCTTTGTCAGAGAGAGAGAGAGTCGCTTTACGCTTGTTACTTTTTTTACTTTTGTTATTTTTAAAAGTAACTGATTCTGATGAACTGCTTGGAACGTCATTATCTACGAAATAAAAATATCAATTATAAATGTATAAATTTACGAATTTCAAACATGTTTACAAACAATAAATACCTTCTTCTATTTCCGTAATTTTTTCTTTTACAATTTTTTGACTTGAGAACGATTGAAATTCTAAATCACTGATTTTACTTGATTTATCTGATGCTGTATCTGACAATTCTTCAGCATCTATATCAGATACTTCACTTGAAAGTACAACAGTGTCTTCTGTAATGCGTGTCATACGACGTAGTCCCTGATCGAAATTATCTATAATATAACGTAAATAATTTAATGCATTTTTTATTTTACTTTTTTTAACTTGTACTTACTAGCATTTTTCATTAATTTAACAGGATATTTCTTCCATGTTAATTCTGGAGTTTTATTTTCTTTATTCCATTCTTGTACTTTATCGTACTCTAATTTTTGGCGGATATTTGCAAAACCATGTGCGTTTAAGTTTTAATAACCATTCTTTTGGTACAAGATCTATACATAATTTTTTATCTTGACGCCGAATACTAGTAAAGCAGACGACTACGTGCGTAACATTATCACTTAGTTCAGTTCTATATAAATTACATAAATAATAAATTACGATTATTTTTCTTTATTGGTAAAAAGAGCTTTTAAGTCAATAATATTACGTATTTTATTTTGAAAATTAACAATAACATAATTACCAATAAATTGAAAAAATACGTGTACTCACAAATATGAAAAATCATTCATGGTTGATGCGAATTATAGCACTGCACTGCACTAGACTTAATAATACACTGGATTAAAATATAGTTTTACTTTTTGTCACGTAAATTAAAATATACAGTTATACGCTTTGACACATAACAGCAATGATGCCAGAACGAGGTTTCGCAGTCAACAAACAAATGCATATACAGAAACTATCGATAGCGAAATCGAAATGTATTGAAATATTTATTTATACGGTAATAAAAAATTAAATGTACATATTGATTACATTTATGTACATTTATTAAAACATTTACAAACATTTACAAACTAAGAAAATTTAAGCGTGTAATAATTTTGTACAATACGTAATATTCTTAATGTTTAAAAGTACGCATTTATGTTTAATTTCTTTAACATGAAAAACGCAACGGTATTTGCTTAAATTAACTTGCCATAAACCGACATTAGATGATTTATAAGGATAGTTAAAAACATCTCTTGTATCATAATATAACGATCCTTTTAGTGATAACTTTTCTTGATTTCAAACATCATTTTTTAACGAATAAATTTTATCAATTTGTATGATATTGCCATTTTTTAGTTGTACAACGTTATTAGGAGATGTATTTGTGATAATCATTTCATTCCATGTTATACTTTTAAATATTATTTTTGTCATATGATTGCCTAAATAAATTGATTTCTTTTTAACATAATCTGTAACTGATATAGATTGAACAATCTTTATATTAGTATTTAAATTAATTTCTTTTAAACGATTTGCAACTTGACTTAAAGGATTATTTGGTGTACGAACTAATTTTTTTAAAGTCATCAAAAAATTTTCAAATGGAAATGCCGAAAATGATGTCAATGAACATCCTATATGAGTTACATCATCTGCTATATGAATTAAATTATGAAAATTAATACTTTGAATATGAGAACCATAAAATTTAGGCAACAAACGAAAAAATAATATTAATAATTTTTTTGCATTTTCTGCGTTTAATATTGCCAAATCATCACTACATAATAATCGACATGCTACATATAAAAGAGAAAAGTGCTTATATTTATCAGTTGGAAGAACATGACGAAGTACTAATATACCACTGTATAACAGAAAGAAACGAAATTGTGTCGCTTTCCAATTTTTTAAGTTACCAATATCAAAAGTTTTTCTTTGGAATTCTGAGGGAATTTGACCAGATAAACCATGGAGTAAATTGCTTAATAATAATCGATTTCGTGGCCCAATACCACTATTCTTGGGACCACCGAATACAATATTGTTTAATAAAGTTTTTGTAATACCAAGAAATAAAAGGTGCATTGAATCTAGAACA